TGGGGTCCAAACTATAGTATCCCTGACAAGCAACAAAGTGTGTGTCAGGTTCACGAAGTCTGAAACAAAACTTATCTCTCCCTGGACCCAGTGTGTTTATAGTACATCAGTGAGAAACCGTCATAGTAAGGCCGTTTACGTCTTCCCTCCTCGTTCCTTGCATGGTATCTGACTCCAACGTTATGGTTGACCCTCCGGCGGTGTAAAATCTGGAAACTCTACATACAAATAGACAATACCCTGTTCTTTTGCCCTACAGATTGACTTGAGCACTCTCTGTTCTTGTAAAAGACTGGATTAACACTATCTAAACCTTCGCCATGCTAACTGACAACTTATTCATTTCCATTATATGGAGTTGTCTTTGCATGATTCATGTGGCGACTCCCCTATATGCAGGGAAGCAAACTGGCGGTTAGGGCCGTTAGCGTGACCCTAATCATTGGTCATATGACAGATATAAAACATAACACATCTTCAGGATATAGAACTGGAGAGAGGTAAAGATGAATGGTTAAGGATACAGAGGGAGAGAGTAATTGGAAAATGTAATTTCTACTTGTTTATTAATTCTTCATACTGTAATACATTTCCATTTAACAAAAACGAAAACATTTCACAATTTTTTTTTTTTTGTCAATACAAAAAACACCAGGTTTCTGCCACATGCTGCTGCCTGAGGACCAGTACCCCAAGGGCTTTGCCTTTGACACGGAGGATGTAAACTTTCAGACAGACAACCTTTGCTTTGTTGGCCTCATGTCCATGATCGATCCTCCCCGTGCTGCTGTGCCTGATGCTGTTGGCAAATGCCGATCTGCTGGTATCAAGGTGAGCTATTTTAACACGCCTAATATTCTGTATGAACTCTTTATTCCTTATAGTGTTTTATAATAAGGTTCTGTTTCAAAGTACCTTTGAGATCACGTGATGAAATTACATTTTTCTTGCTCTTGTTGTTAGGTCATCATGGTCACTGGAGATCACCCAATCACAGCCAAGGCCATTGCCAAAGGAGTGGGCATCATCTCTGAGGGCAATGAGACAGTGGAGGACATTGCAGCTCGTCTCAACATACCTGTCAGCCAGGTGAACCCCAGGTAAAGAATGTTGACACAAAAACACACAGTCATAAAAATCATGAGGAAGTATAAGAACCACATTAACAATTTAATGTCTTTGTATAGGGATGCCAAGGCCTGTGTGATCCATGGTACAGACCTGAAAGATCTTTCTCAGGATCAGATGGACGACATCCTGAGGAATCACACAGAGATTGTCTTTGCCAGGACCTCCCCACAGCAGAAGCTCATCATTGTAGAAGGCTGCCAGAGACTGGTTAGTGGATTATACTTTGTGGACAATCTATGTTTGATATGACTGGTATAGTAATCCAAGCAGTCTTCAACATGTTCCTAATATTGGCTTCAATAGAAGACACTGAAAAATTGCATTGCGTAAATTCAGGGACTAGACTCGAGTACCATTATACTTTCACAACAGCAGATGGCGCTAGTTATCTGTTGAACAAGGATTCCCTGACTGAAACATAAAACATGTTTCTTCACTCTTGAGATGATTAGATTGCCTTTGAAACATCAAGATGTTATAGTTTTATTAGATTTAAATTAAATTAATTCATTGTTTTTTAAAAATTTTAATACATTTTAATACCAATTAAATATAACCATTTAATTTAAATATGTATAGAAAATATAGTTTATATTGAGTATATTGGCCTATGGTGTTTTATTTAAGAGCTTATGCTCTTGTCAAATAACATTCAACATCTTTATAAAACAGGGTTGTTTTATTAAGTATTAAATGATTTAATAATATTATGGTCATATGAATGAAGAGTATTAATCACTGGCTTTGCTACATATAATTACAATACGTGGGTCTCTCTTAAAATCAAGTTACCTGGGTAGATGAGGGACAAATTTTTTGTAGAACTAGAACGTCTTCTATGTATTTATGCTATATAACCTCATCTGTTTCTCCTAGGGTGCCATTGTAGCTGTGACAGGTGATGGTGTGAATGACTCTCCAGCGCTGAAAAAGGCTGACATTGGTGTTGCCATGGGGATCTCAGGCTCAGATGTGTCCAAACAGGCCGCTGACATGATCTTGTTGGATGACAACTTTGCCTCTATTGTCACAGGAGTGGAAGAAGGTGAGAGCAACCAAAGGAAAGAAGACAGAACATTCAGAGAAAGAGAATTTATGAGACAATCTGAAAAAAAAACTATGTATATATAAAGAAGGATGTAAAATAAGATTTAAGATAAACTAAAGCTAGGTTTTTTTAACCAAGAGAAATATTCTGACACAAAATCTGACCTGTTGTTTCAGGTTGAACAATCTAGCCTAGTAACAGTTGGACTTAGTATCTGATGTGAACTGGCTGTTCTTCTTCCTCAGGCCGTTTGATCTTTGATAACCTTAAGAAGTCCATTGCCTACACCCTGACCAGCAACATCCCAGAGATCACCCCCTTCTTGTTTTTCATCATCGTGAACATCCCCCTGCCACTGGGAACCATCACCATCCTCTGTATTGACCTGGGAACTGACATGGTGAGAGATGATCAAACTCTCATTGTCTTTTATGACGAATACAACTTTACGCTTAAACACACTTCCTGTTGATATGACAAACTTAAAGTTCACATTTCCTCCTCTTCCCTCAGGTGCCAGCTATTTCTCTGGCTTATGAAATGGCAGAGAGCGACATCATGAAGCGTCAGCCCAGGAACCCATTCAGGGACAAGCTGGTGAATGAGAGGCTTATCAGCATTGCCTATGGACAAATTGGTAGGTGAAATGAAGATTGCTACCCCTGATCCAGGCTGTGAATTGTCTTAGGATTGAAGTTCTTGGTTGCCTGAAAGTAATTTTGTGTTAAAATCAACTTTATCCCCCCACCAACAGATGGGTTATTTTTTTTTTTAATCTATCAGCAAAGTGTTTGGTAAAACTAGATTAAGGAAGTTAGATAACGTAAAAAGCTGTAAGTTAATTTCTCGGTCTGTATGTTTTTCCTTAGGTATGATCCAGGCTTTGGGAGGCTTCTTCTCCTACTTTGTCATCTTGGCTGAAAATGGTTTCCTGCCCAGTTTTTTAGTAGGCATCAGGCTCAACTGGGATGACCGAGCTGTCAACGACCTGGAAGACAGCTATGGGCAGCAATGGGTAAGCGTGTATTTTTTGTATGTTCATGTGAATTTGTACGTGTGTTTTCAGGGTTTTGTTACTTAATCTTACAATGTGTCTGTCCTCTCTTGCCCTCAGACATATGAGCAGAGGAAGATTGTGGAGTTCACATGCCACACAGCCTTCTTTGTCAGTATTGTTGTAGTGCAGTGGGCTGATGTCATAATCTGCAAGACCAGACGTAACTCTGTGTTCCAGCAGGGCATGAAGTGAGTAAAACAATCACTATACATGCTATGATCTAAATTGGGGTGACACCTATCTCAATTTCTGCATCATTTCTTTCCTTCAATATTTGTTATGTTTCTTAACCCAGGAACAAGATCTTGATCTTCGGCCTGTTCGAAGAGACAGCCCTGGCTGCCTTCCTGTCCTACTGCCCAGGCATGGATGTGGCACTCAGGATGTATCCTCTAAAGTGAGTGCCATTACCACATGTATTAATATTTATTGTGTTATTTGTTTACTTTATTAGTTTTAATCCATCTGGTTTTCTCTTGTTTTGCCCACAGGCCTACCTGGTGGTTTTGTGCATTCCCCTATAGTTTTCTCATCTTTGTTTATGATGAAGTCCGAAAACTCCTCCTCCGCCGGAACCCTGGAGGTTAGTATTTTTTCCTCCCAATATATGTGTTAACTCTTAAACCAAAGTTTATCTAAAGGAATAGTTCAACAGCAGCACATTGTGATTGTACGCAGGAAATGGGCTGGACTTATTTCTTGGCTTGGTACAGTAACTTCCTGGAGTCCCAACTGGTTGCCTGGTAAATTCACGGCAACACTAAGTCACTGTACCTAGCCGAGAAATTGTCCAGTGCATTTATTTTTTGTATGGATTTAACAAACAAGATATAACATGTTAATTAGTGAGCTTTAGATGTGCTGGTAGATGGATTTTGTTATCTTCAGACAGATCTAGGCTAGCTGTTTTACCCTGATTCCAGAGTTTTAAGCTAAGCAAAGCCTCATATTTACCGTACATAAGAATAGTGCTCTCATCTAACTCTCTGCAAGAAAGCAAATAATTTCCCCAAATGTTGAACTAGTCCTTTAACTAATGCTAATTCAATGGTAAATCTTCATTAAAATATGATTTGTATACATGTTTGAACTAACTGTGAACCTCTTCTCTCTTTCTTCTCTCATTTGCACTCCAGGTTGGGTGGAAAGGGAGACATACTATTGATCGATGGAGCATCTTTGCTCAAACCCCCCACATCTTCCACTTATTTCTCCCCCCTGTCACTCCATCCCCGGCAAGACACACCTCCAAAAGCCCCACCCCCTTAAAGACAAAAACCGCTTTAAAGCAATTTTCATCACAACTGCCCCAAAGATTAAAAACAGCAAAAGCACCTTTACAACTTTCTACATTGACCCGCCCCCCTTTCCCCCCATCTCCTATGATACTCTTTGCATGTGTTCTCTCACTGCTGTGTACATAAACCAATATATCTACCAAACGGCAGCTGCATATTGTGTATGTAGATTTGAATGAGCTAAGGATACAAAGGGAGTGTCTATGCTCTGCAAAAAAGGGCCATCCAGCTCCTTCCCATCCCTGTTATTCCTCTGCTCTCTTCCCCTCGTCTTTCTCTATACCTACGTTCCTATCTCTTTTCCCTCCTTGCCAACCCTTTGCTTGTCCTCCAGTCACACACAGATATAAAGATCACACAGTGAGATCCCACCGCCGACACCACTTCGACTGCCACCTCTCGCCTCCGTCTCCTGTTTGTGGAGGACCAGCGGAGTGGTCATTTCCCGTCGTTCTCGCTGCGTCCATTTTCCTTCTCTTCTGTTACCGACGGCCACAGTGTTGTTGTTTTTTAATATGTGGGGTACGGGGGATTTCAATGATTTTACTTGTCTTTTTTATTTATAAGACGAGAGGGGGGGGTATGTGAGAGCTGCTTTTCCTCATTTAGGCCTAACAAAGCACACCCCATGGCGTCCTGTCCCCCCTCTCTCCCCTTCTGTCTCTCACACCCCTCCCCTCC